ATTGTATATTGAATTGAGCCATCTACCCCAAGATATTGGTACTACTGGCCATGAAAGGCGGAAATGTAGGCGCTAGACAGGTTTAAGCGTTAAATGGGTTTTGCGGGCGTTAGAGTGGGCGTGGCAAACTTTTACTTGGCCAATCGATATGTATTGACGAAACAAATACATATCAGTTACTATTTTCATAATAGCTTCAAAACTGTGGGCGATAGAGAGGGCTAGTGGGCGTTAGAGGGGGCGTGGCACCTTTTTGAAATAAACTTGCGCTGCGTAGGAACTCCCAGAATCTGCATGCAAAATGCCAATCTTCTAGCTTTTATAGTTTCCGAGATCTCAGCGTTCATACGGACAGACGGACAGACAGACAGACGGACAGACGGACAGACGGACATGGCTAGATCGACTCGGCTAGTGATCCTGATCAAGAATATATATACTTTATGGGGTCGGAAACGCTTCCTTCTACCTGTTACATACTTTTGCACGAATACAATATACCCTTTTACTCTACGAGTAACGGGTATAAAAAGCAAACAAAACCAAGCCTCGCAGTGGGAAAACAATGCCAGTTTGTGCTGCTTCTGCTGGCGATGGCGACTACATAAGTGGTAATAATAATTCCGCTCAAGAGGCGTCGCCCGGCGTTTCATTTCAATGACACACAAACCAACAACGACGACTGCTGCTGCTGATGACGACGACGATGAGGTCGAGGGGTAAGGGGTTTCAATGGGTGGCTGGATGGCTGAATGGCTCAGGGGAGCGAGAGGGGAGGGGCTTGGAGACGACAATGATGAGGCTGCCGCCTGATGATGCGCTGACGTGAATGGTAAAATACTAAATGCTAGGTGCAGCAGCAGCTAAATCCGTGTTTTTGTCATCGGACGACCCGCATCGTCTAAGCCGCACATTGTACATATGATCCGATATGAGCCGCATTCGGAGGAGATAACCCGACAAAGGGCTAGGTACAGGACCATACAACGAATACCGGATGCCCTGTGGGTATAATTTTATAAAAGAAGATCCTAAAAGTATATAATTATTTAAAAGTAATTTCTTATACCATTTACAAAAATCAAGTATGTAATAGGTTTTTAATATAATACAAATGCCTTCAAAATGCATAAAATCCCTGAAATTGTGGGCGCGCTGCAATTCATTAAGAGTGTGTTCATCATCAAGGGCAAGATCCATCTACCCCTCTGCCAGCTCCGCCTCTATTGTTTTGCGATGGCTTAATATTGCATATGCACGACTCGTCATTCATTCATTGCCCCAAACGACTGTCTATTGGAGGGGCACCACCACTGCACCGCCGCTCGCCTCCCCTGAAAACCCAACGTCTGCTGGTGGCTCCTTTGATTGCATTGTCTCGTCATGGTCTCGAGTTCGAGTGGTTCCTGGCATCGCTTTTTTACCCAGCCATTTCTTTTTATAGTTCTCAGCAGCCCCTTCAATCCCTACTTAAAGCCCCTGCCCTTGGCTCAGTGGCGGATTTTTTGGACTTTTTTAGAGGGCTACGTACATTTAAATTCGGAATATAACGACAACAAGGATTAGCTTATCCAAATGACAAATATATAACGAAGTGTTTGAATTAAGTATGAATTAAATTTTTAAACCATCTATAAGTACATCAAATTCTGGCTGTTCTTTATTTTATCTTCTATCAACGTAGAATTCAAAAAAAAAATTTAATTTCTTTAGGGGTAAAGTTGTGGCCTTATAATATTCAAATATAATATTCAAAACCCCCTTTAATTATTTTTTCTATCCGCCCCTGGCCCTATTTCAACGTTTTTTCAGCTCCCGCTCACTTGACATACAATTATGTTGATGACATTGTTGTTTATATGCTTTTTTTTTTCGTTGCTGGTGTTGTTGTTTTTGTTTCCTTCAACTGCAGTAGCAACAACAATGCCGACAATTTTTATGGGCATTCTGGGGCTGCGGTATATGTAGGTACAAGCCCATATATCTTCTGCTCTCTCTCCGCGTATCTGGCATATCTGTCTTTTGCCATAGCTAAATTTCTTGCACCGAGTGTAGTTTAATGCAAGGACTATGTTACATATGGGACAAAATATGTAATATTCAGCATCATCGAACCAATAAACATATAAACTGTTTATAAGTTTACCGATTGAGGAAATAGCTTCAGGCAGGATATTTAATTGTGTTGATTTTTGTTTGTTTAATAAACGCATATATTTATAAGACTTTGTTGAAATAATTTTCGAATGATTTAAGTGAGAAAATAATTAATGTACCGAGAATATAATAGTCGGACAACTTGACTATATTGACTATATTTTCAGCATCTTAAGTTGGGATTTCAGTCAAACAGTCCCTCGTTCCATGGCCTTAATTAAAGATTCGTTGGTGTCAAATGATGTAGATGTTGTTTCTGTTGCTCTAGGGTTTCCCTTTTGACCGAGCACCGCTCAAGTGCAATTGTCTCGACTTCTTCGAATGCAGTATATACTCGCATGTATATATCTTCTCGCTTCAAGGTCTCTGGGCCTGTCATCGCATCTACAGTCTCATTTTATCCATTCCGAGAAGCAACCGCATAAATTATTTGCTTTGATATGGGACGGGACTTCTAAGGATTCCATTCCAGCGAGATGATCAAATGTTTTTGATTGAACAAATGTCGAGGACGGAGTGGGGTGGCTAGGCAGCAATTAACTGGCTTTTTCTGGTCTCCAAAGATGACCCGTAGAAACCCCAGATTACGTCTAATGAAGAAAAATGAATTGCACCGATGATTCGACAGATTCAAGTTTCCATTGGGGAAAGTTTTTCCGCTCGCCTCCGGGGGAGAAGCTTTATCTAATAAATTTCCACCCAGCACGTAACACAAAATATGCGTGTAAATTTCATTTATTGATTTATGGTGAGGCACGTATGCATGTGCATGTGTGAGGGAAAGCATTTGTATAAATACGCAAAATAATGGCATCTCCAATGTGCGAACTTCCCCTGACCATAAATCAAGATGAGCCCGGCAAACAAAACGATTTTCATGCCTCCTTTTCGCTCCTCCTCGCGAAAATACATATATTTCAGCTGGCACAGCCTTTGCGAGGAAAGTTCTATTTGATTTCGTATTAGGAGCGAAACTGCTGAGCTCACATAAATTCCGCTTTTAAACGAAAATTAGTGGGGGCGGGTGGAGCCGAGTGGAACGGAATCAGCCCGAGAGATTAAAGTTGGCAACGTGCCGGAGTACGTGGCCGGGAAATCATTTTCTGGCGCAACATTTTCTGCCATCTCAGCTCGACTTTCGAGCAGGAACGTGGAAAGTTTTTTGAACCGAAAATTACTTGGGCAAATATTGCTTTGTTCAATCGCCGCCGCAGCTTGGAAATTATGAGGGAAAACTTGCAGGCGGAGCAATTAGAAAAGTTTTCCCTGGACAACTGTCTCAGATGGCTCGAGCAAACTTATCCACTGCACAGAAAAAAATACCCGTTCTGTAACAGGGATGTTCTGTGCTGCATTCGGTTTTCTCAAAAGCTTATGACAGAAAATAAAAGTATAAGACACTTGGCTTTTTATCGATTCTTATATGATAAGGGTAGTCCTAAGTAAAATCTAGGTAAACTTAATTATCAACAAAAGAATAAATATTGCCCCAAAACTGAACTTTACTACTTTATAATTACTTGAATTAACCAACTTTTACACGACATGACTAATTTAAGTCGGAATTTTCTTCGGAGTAGCGAAAATTGAATAATCAATAAGGCGCTCGGATGCACAGACACAGCCTTGTGACCATCGAAATAAAATTGATTTTCTCCCGAACACAACCCTTCTTTCGGAGTCCGAAGATCTTAGAGCTCCTCTATTGACTTTACTGCTTTAATGGGATTCGCTGTCAAGGCTGAGCGCATGCCCAACGCCCTTCCCGAAATCGTTTAATTGCACACGCGGCTCGTGAAAAGGGCCCGGGACTTCGGACCATATATGCGTATATCCACGGACTACCTGCCCTTTCCCTGTCAAATGCCCATCCCAAACATATGGCGTTTGAACGCATAGAGGCCCAGCGAGTGGCTCGTAAAAAATTATCTCTGGCATTGTTCCGTAGCACGGTCGGGGTGCCCATAAAATCCCAGTTCCAGGTTCCAGTCCCGACCGAAACCAACCCAACTAACAGCCCAGAACCAACCCAAGCGAGCCGGCGACGTCGGCATAAATCACTAGGAACTTGTTAATTGTGCGCCTATTTATTAGATGCATTTGGTTTTTCGGGAAAATTGAGGTGGTAAGTGATAGGCAGACACATGCCGCTAAAAGGGGAAAACAGACATCGAACAGGTGACTGTGTGTGCCAGACTTCGATAAGATAGAATGGAAGACAGGTTGGGGGCTCCAAACCAAAGTCGTGAAATCAAAGAGGCCGTTCACAGAATTCACTTCAATCGGTCTTCAATAAACACAAGAGTCTGCTCCGCCACTCAACACTTTCGGGCTGTCAAAATAATTAATAAGACATGTTTTTAAGTATAAAAAGAATCTCTTATTCAGAGTTCCAATACAAAAGTAAAAATATAAATCTGGGATATATTAAATTTAGTCGCTTCGAAAACTTGCAATTTTTTCCCATCCTACTTATAAGTAATCTGCTCACTCTCAGTGGTTAGTTTTTTAAATGAATACTTTTTAAAACTAATAAAGCAATAAAATTATGATCATTAGTGTTAAGATTGATATTAATCATGACTAAATTTAAAACTTATAATTAAAGGTTTCTAAAATAATGTCCAATAAATTGCATGCATGAGTAACTCGCGATCGCCAGTGTAATTAAAGAATCGAGTCACCTACCTGGATTGCTCGTTCTAATGTGGTTTTACCACTTTTATCTGAAATTATTTTTGTTTTGCATCTAAACTTGTTTCGAGCAGATTCACTTGTCGAATATTCCGAGTTTTTGGGCACTTTTTGGCTAGTTGCAATTTGGTACCAGATACTACAACATCATGTCTTGCAGAAAAATATCTGTGGTGAGTCTAAAAAGAAGCGTGATTGTTTCATCTATAAAGTGACAATTCCCAGTGGATTATCGTCCTGAGCCTTAGTCTCTTTGAATTAACACCAGCTATCGGTGGAGGATACCAGCTTAAGATCAATCATCCAGATGGATCGGCTTTTCGACGGGAATCGGTAATCGAGGATGCTGAGGGAAATTCACAGGTCGAAGGCGAGGTCCGACAAATGTTTCCTGCTCCTTATGGAGGACGGTTAGTTCTCTTCTATAAAACCGGATCAGAGGGATATAGGATACGATATTCCTATGAGGCAGGCAGTGAGAATTCTTTAATGCCGATTTTAGCAAGGAACGAAACATTCTCCATAAAAAGAATCGGAGTAAACGCTCTGAAGTCGACAGCAGGTTGATTACGTACACCTGTAACTTAACGCTGCAGACTGCAGTAAATAAAACATATAGATGCGAGTGCTGTAAATAGTTGGATAAATTATTTGGGGGGCTAATTATAATGGGTTTTTTACTAAGTTTATTTGCATATTTAAGTGTTTTAATTGTAAACCCCCAAATTCACCTTACATCGTTGCTGCAGCTACATACAAAAAAAGATATTTAATTCTTATAATTCTATTGTATTTGTAATGACGTTTAGCAAAGTACGGTGTATTTTGATTTTTATACCCTTGTAGAGGGTATTATAATTTCAGTCAGATGTTTGCAACGCAGTGAAGGAGACGTTTCCGACCACATAAAGTATATATATTCTTGATCAGCACCAATAGCCGAGTCTATCTAGCCATGTCCGTCTGTCCGTCTGTCCGTCTGTCCGTCTGTCCGTTTCTATGCGAACTAGTCTCTCAGTTTTAAAGCTATCGCGATGAAACTTTCCCGAAGGTCTTCTTTCTATTGCAGGTAGTACATATGTCGGAGCCAGCCGGATCGGACCACTATATCTTAAGGCTCCCAAACAAATATAAGAAAATTCATTGTAACTTTGTAGGAAGTAGGCGTTTTGATTCTTGACTACTTAAAAACAAAATTGAAATAAATCGAAACGCTGAATCTGGAATCCCTGGAACTGCACCGAGTGAGTATTCTTTTATCTACAAGGGTATATAAGCTTCGGCTGGCCGAAGGTAGCTTCCTTTCTTGTTGGTTTATAAGTTTGCCAAATAACGTTAAATTAAAAAAAAAGAACCCTCTTCCATCTTTAGTAACCCGATTGACTTTGTTTCTTTTTTATTAAACCCTTTATAACATTTTTCTTCAAATAATTGTATTTCTAAACTACAATTTATAGATTCTGATTAACTTTTATTTGATACTTATGGAGTTCCTACTTCCGCATTGATTAACAGTCTTTTAATAATTTTTAACTGAAAGAGTTTATATAAAAGTCTTTACGGATTTCTCATGCAAAGTTTGTTTCATAACAGTATCGCGCTCAACACATAATTAAAGATTAAATAAATTAATTGCGTTTTTTTTTTGTTTATCAATACCGATAAAACTGAAGAAAATTATTTAAAAATCAAAAGCATTCAAAAAGTATGTGGCCTCTGGATGGCGTCACCTCGCACTACATTAGTAGTGCCCTTTAGCTGACTTACAAGTATCTGATAGTCGTAGCATTCGAATAAAGCGTTCTCTCTTGCTTTAATTAAAATATCAAAAACATGTTCTTATACATGTTAATAGCAGCAATTTTTCCAGGGGCTGAGAAGTAAGAGCAGGTATGATATCGAATCCAACTCCAGTAGACTCTACCTTCTCACCCCACACCGATCCTTCTATCCGGCAGTAATCCGAACCATTTGAATCAATATAAGCGGTAACAAATATTTATGGGCAATGGAGCGAATGTTTCTATTTCGAAGCGCTTATTTATTTGTGAAACAACTTTTCAGGCAAATACAGACCCACACGATAAATAGTACGACTGCGTGTGTCCACAAACACACAAAATTCTGAACACAGTTTTGTGTATTTCGTGTGTACTTTTCTGCCATGCCAGCTAACATTTAATGTTTTTATTTGGTTTCATTAATGACAATGCTTTGTTGCCAATATTGACATGTTCTCTATCTGTCTCTGTCCCAGTGGGAGTGTGTGAGGGTCGGAGGGAAGTCGAAACATGGCAAAGTAAGTCAATAGCGTAAAATTCTATAGGGGCTGACGATCAGAAAACGAGAGACCTCAATTGTATTTAATTAAAATTTTAATTACATTACATTTTAAAATAGATTAATTTAAATTATAGTTTCAAAAAGTTATTTTACACAGAAATGATTTAAAAGCATAAGTTACGATCTGCCCAAAGTTTAAAAAATGCTGCACCAATGTTAGTTTTTGGTGACCTATCTACTTATTGGCGGGTGTTTAACTTGAGTTTGAAAAATATCAAGCGAAGGTGCCACTTTATTCCAACACACAACGAAGGGAGCAAAGCTTCTGCACAATTTAAAATAACATTAAAAAAAGCCCAAAACACTTAGTACCAAATATGATCAGAGATCTGAGTCACACTCAAAGCTTAACTTCCTCAGCTAGAATTTTCCAGTCGTTATATCTATAAAGTCTCATCAAGAATTTCCCAAGAAAACCCCAGGGTATTGTGAGCTTCGGCAACTTAGTTGGCCTTTCTTGGCCCTTGTTTGTGTTTGCTTAGTTGGTTGACGATGATGATTGCCAACTGTCGACAAGGGTCGCTGTTGTTGTCTATTTATAAGAATTATATCTGCACTCTGCGGGCCCTGCTGTGCTCATTTGTGTTTTCAGCCGCCAAACATACGTGCATACATAGATGGAAGCTTCGTCGGGGGCCAGACATCCGCACACATGCGATGTGGCGTTCAGTTACTTTCATAAATTATCGATAATTGCCTAATGCGGTTATCAGCAACAAAGGCGCGGAACTATCTCCCGAGGAATACCACCCGAGTTCCCGCTCCAGTCAGGTGCACTGAGTGGGCAAACATCCATCTGAAATTCATAAGCTCATTAAATTTTCAGCAACCAGCCTGGCAATCAGTAGTCGGCAGTCAGCAATTTCCCAGGCTGGGCAAATACAATTAAAATGCCATAAAGCAAATTAGCCAAGACAAACTTTTCATATTTAGCCGCGAGCTGTGCAAATTAGATGCGACAAGATGGGCGGCTGGTTTAGGGGTCTGCAGGAGGGTGGGAAGGAGGAGGGGGAGCTTCGCTTTTCAGGGGGCAGAGCGACACTAAAACACATCCTGCGCCTTTCGTAATTGCCAGGCGGAGCACTCGTGGCTGGCAACTTCAGCAAATTGTTGGCAATTATGTGGCACAAAGTAAAGTAAAACACACTGCGACAGCCTCGGAATGCGACGATGAAACTCTGAGGAAAAGCAGCGTCCAAAAAGGCGAGACGAATTTTGAAGCCGGATTATCACTGATTCGGGTCGTCGTTACTTTCGGCTATTAATTATCGAATTGAATGTTTAGAATGTGTCTTTTTATTTAATCTTCCGATCACCTAGGACTTCTATGCTCTTTGATTAACCTTAATTCCTTAGTAATAACCTTAATAATTAAATTCAACATATTAATAGTCAGGAAGAAAAAATTTTTTTTTCCTGTTTAGATGTAATTATTTTAATTAAAAACATTTTTTTTTTCCTCTATAATACTGAGATTGCAATCGTTCAAATAGGGGTATTCGGTAAATATGCAATCTTAATATCTAAACTAACCCTCCCGGTTCCCCCCTCCCGTGGAGGATCACCCCTCATGGTTCGACTACCTGCTGGAAAGTGTATTAAATTATAATTATTTGTGCATGACAAAGGGTCATGAAACATGCCTAATGACACATTTGCCACAGTCTGGAACAAAACGCGGGCCGCCACTACAGCAACAACACTGCGAGGGGGGTGGATGGGAGGGATTCCAGTGGCTTGGGAAGGGGGAGGGGAGAGGGGAGAGGGCGGAAGGTCGCGACTCGCACGCCCAGGGGCAGACTTTACGTGTCTCCCTCTTGTCAGGATAGCGACTCTGGCCTTATGTATATAGCTACAATTAACCACGCTCGTTATGTTCGAGGCGTGCGGCAGCCGAAAAGAAATTAAACTAAATTGCTGCAAAACTGAAAATTTCCACTTGTAATGCAACACTACGAACACAGCGGTTACGTTGAGGGAGAAAGGCTTTTCTCTGTTTGTCACGCCCTTAAACACCCTTCAACTTGGAAGAGAGAATTTGGAAGCATAATTAGTGATTTATTTTTTTCGTGATTTTCCATCATGCATGATGGAACCATTTCAGCAGTAGGGTGATGAATATTGCTTAATTTAACAGAAATAATAGCAAACAATGTACATGCATTTATTTATTTTAACTGTTAGGCTGGATCGATTTGTAAACTGGCGGATAACAGCTATATCCTTATTTCAATTTCTTTTTTGAATAGAGATTCACTTTATTTTGATAATCTTCTAATGAAATATATTCGGATACACTATTCCGGTTTGAAATCGAGTCATTTTCTGAATAAAAATAGAAGGAAGAGTATAAAAGCAATGTAGAAAACCAGACCCACCTAAGCAATCAGATTTTTTCACTAATGTCTATTAGGCATTTGCTTTGCTGGAAGTTTTCCGTCCTCTTTCCCCGGGTTTTCCGCCCCTTTCAACCCCGAAAACTTTTCATTTGCTGCACAGTGGAATGGGCAAAGTTGTGGAGCCAAGGAGCGCGATAAGAGCACTCGGGAATGTTTCATGTTTTTGCTAAGGGCCTGCAGATAAGATCCGTAATGGGGCTCGCCACATTTCGTTGGCTGCACAGTTTTGGCTTAGTTTAGTGACTATTAAAGAATGTTTCTGGTCAATGCGAGTTCCTGACCCTAAATGTTAGCTATCAGTGGCGTTATCTTTTTAGTTTTCGTTGTATTAAAATAAACTGGTCAAATATAACTTCCGCGGAAATATTTAGAAACTACAATATAAGAATGTACTAACAGCTTTTAAGGAAGGAAATTAATTATTATAGACCTGTAAATTTAGCATTTCACAACCTACTTATCAGCTCGCAGCTGTCCCATCGACCCACTCACTTTCCAATTCAGCCCTCGCTTCAAGCTGCAATCAAACACCCAGGCCATATATCATCCCCGTTCGTAATACTAATACCATAACGTATTTAATATTTCGTTCCCTTTTAGCTCGAATCCACGGATCTCGCACCACGGTGATTGTCTAAGGAAATTTGAGTCGTGGTCATGTCGCATTTCTTTTTTTTAGCCCAGCTTGACGTCTTCCTCCTCGGCTCTTCTGCTTTTAGCCCTACGTGTTGCAGGCAAACAAAACTCGGGAATGAAGCCCAAAAACAACATAAGCGCGGCACATAAACTAGACAAACATCGATAAGAGCAAACGAAGTCCATTCA